GTGATTTTATTCTGACTTTCCTTTACATTAACCAAAATCATCTAAATGCTTTAATACAGGATTTTAGTTTTTTCATGACATTGAAAGCTTGCTTGTCTAGAGTCAATTGTTGCTGGACTTTACTGTAAACTTTGTTTGAAAAAGTGCTAAATTCGATTTGCATGCATGGATCTGTGTGCTAGCTGTATCTCTGGTGGCAAACCCACTTTATCCATATTGATGTCACCTAAAGGGCTAGAGTGAGACATTTTTCTATTTACTATAGATGTATTATGATGAATATTGAGTGTCTCCACATTTTGAAAATTGCATTTTGCTTTGCGATTATATTGCAGATGCAATTAATTGCCTAGACCTAATCCCGACCCTCTAGAATTTTTCTCAGTTGATTTTGTAACCAAAAACCTACAAAATGGTGTATAATTTAGATGTGGGGGGAAGTGCATGAATCCCCGTTGACATACCACACTCCAAAACTACCTTTTGATGCAATAACTGCTGTAAACCTTGAACAATCTTTTTTCCACCTCCACATCTACAGACTGAAAATGGTGGCCATCCTTTTCCCTATTAACACTTGGACAGGTTAGATAAAGAACTCTGAAGAATCCTTAACACAACATCTAAAAGGGATTTTGGTCTGGACTTTGACTAGACCATTCTAAAAAGGTGCTTCGAGCTTAAACATGAACTTGTAGCTCTAGTTATATTTTTACCACCACAGCCCAGCAGGTAAGTGAACCTCCTACAAAATATTTTGAAGTTTGCAGCATCTTATAGATTTACTTTTAAAAAACACATATTTAGTACTAATTATCATCTTTGAAACTCTGACAAACCTAAATGTCTACTCAGAAGAAAAGCTTTCCCACTACATGATGCTGCCACTACAACAATTGAAGCTTGACATGTGTGTTTTTCGTTTTTTCCAAAAAAACAAATATCTGGTGACAAAGGCCAATTGTCAGAGTAAAGAGGGGTGTATGCCACACTTTAAATATTTCTATTTTTAAGCAGGAATTGAAAAAGAAAAAACATACCCATATAATTTCTTTTTTCTCTCTCTACCAGCTGTGTACCCTAACTGGAACTACTGTACAGTACACACCTGCACAGATCAGAACCTACAGGGATCTTTCCTGGGATTCAGAAAGTTGTGGGAAGAACAGTATCGGTGGACATGTGTTCAAATAAGCAAGTCTACTGCGCTTGGTTTACAGTAGTAAAATTGTAGCTGTTTGGTTAGTTGATGAGTCAATGTGTAGTCTAATAAGAAACTCATCTATCTCCTTTATGATCTGAAGCTGTTGCTGTTTTGATTCACACTAATAAAGAAATGTTAAAATACATGTTTTTATTTCATATATCTTGCAGCCTCAGTCAACATGCCTAAATTCTCTTAAAGAAGACAAAAACCATAACAGACTAGAAGCAGCAAACATGACGTGCACAGTAACGGATACACTTTTTTAAAGGAACATGTATAAGGTTTTAGATATAAATAGTCCTTTTCTAAATATTACAGTGAAAAAGTAGAAATTAAAGTGCCTGAAATATGAGGAAAGGTTGCACTTTACAATAACAATCATAATCATAATAAATGTTAAAGAGACAATTTATTAATGGTTAATATTTTATTTAATATTTTATAAAATGACTTTAAGCCATTTATGAAAGGTAAATGGATCATATTGCCTTGCCATGTTAGTTTAGCCCTAACATCAGTGGACTTTTAACTTGCCCTGCCATGTTGCACCCTGACATCAGTGGGATTAATATTTACCTTTTATAAATAGTTTAGATGCATATAACATATGAATCAAACATTAAATAATCTGTTAAATATTAATAAATGGTCTCTTTACCATTTATATTTAAATCATTTTAGTGGTTATTGTACACTGTAACTTGAGGACCTCCTTGGCAATCAAACTGCAGGACTTGCTGCAGTTTCATCAATTCTACAAACGCTTGAACACCCATCTGATATATTTTATATGGATTTTCAGACTTCATCTAGGTAGGCTACACGTTCTGTTGCACTCCAGCCTCTCCTCAGCGCAGTCTTTTAAGGAGGCCCCATCTTCGATGCCCCTGGCATACAGACGCACCAACTGGCCATGAATCCTGAGAAAGGCAGCATAGTAAAAGACAAAACTGATTATGAGTCACAGGATACCTATCTGTGTTTGAGTGCACTGTAAATGAAAGACTATCAAAGACGTGACAGGCTCAGCAAGAGGCAACATGATGTTCACTTACTTGCAGAAGATTTTAGGAAAAGGCAGAATTTCTCCGTCGCAGTTCCAGACTGACGCAGTAGGAGCTTTTCTGCAGCACAGGCCACACATGAAGGGGTTCAGTGTTTTATCCTTGCTTGTCTTAGTCTGTCCCTCTGGTCTTGTTGCCAGGTTTTGCTTCGATCCAGCTCTGCTTGTACTTCCATTATATCCTCCATCTTCTCCATCCATCCCAATATTTAGACCACCGTTGTCCTCTGCCTCCTCTCCTTCGCTTGCCAGGGAGAAACGCACGGCCTTCACACGATGAACCTCCACAAATGGCAGGTCAAACTAGGAGACAGGTGAAAACAAAGAGTCATTGCAACCTTTTTAATGTCTATTTAGCCTCTTTTTTTTTCAGAATAAGGAACCCATACCTGGTCCTGAGAGGTTGTGTGTCTGTAGAGATAGGTGAGGAAGCCCAGAGGGTTAGTGTCCCATACTAGGATAAGATCTCCTGTTCCATCAGCCAGGTGGGCAGAGGGAGAGAGACCCAGAGGACTTTTGGCGCATGAGCTGGACATGCATGTTAAAGACACACATTTAAACCTGCCGTCCACACTCACCCAATCATCTAAAGAAAGAAACAGACAGGCCAGGTTCTGTAGATTTAAATTCCATTCTTGCACTTACCCTGCATGGTCATCAGCAAAGAATAAATAAAATAAAACACTTAAAGAGTACTGTTTAATGTCTATTTATGACATGCTGCAAAAATATGACAATAAGTAAGGAAAGTTAATACATATTTGGTTTAGTACACTTATTAACTGTTAATCTATGATTAAGATCTAAAAATTGAAAAGTAGATCTATTTAACCAAATCCATCACTAAAGAAAACACATTATGTGGATCAATTATCAATTATATCCAGAATGACAAGACTTTATGGTAAATTTAATTATCATAAGAATAACAAGGACAGGAAAATAAACGTACTTTTTATATTGACTTTTCTGGGCCTTAATTGTACAAAAATAATTCTGTTTTTACCTTCTGATTCATTACTGAACGGCCCAGAGTAGGAGCTGTACAGAGAGCCTTCATCCGAGGAGTTTGTGAAAAGTTTCTCTGTGCTTTTGGAGCAAACACCACACCTAAAAACACACACAACACACAGAGTTTTAAAGAGCTCCTAAATTCTAATGCCTACTCATAAAACGGTCCTAAAACAGTTGCTGTCAGCCAGAGGTAGCGTGCTTAAACAAAGACTGAGGCGCACACTCCTAACACCAGGTTGAGTTTCACCTTTCATCTAGATCAAGTTCCTGCTGTCATCCTCCTTAAGATACACCCAACACCCCGCTGCAGGTGGTAGCGGTTCCATTGTCCCAAGCTTTGCCCTTGAGCATTTTCTCCCACACAGCCTACATGCATGTTTTTTTTTTTTCTTTTCTTATTAAAGGGGTTTAGGGTTACAGAAAATCATCACCACCCTTTGCCTCAGATAACGTAGATTAGGACACATTAAAGGCTGAAGGGAAGATAAAGTGATATGCAAAATATATATAAACCCTGGTTAAAATGCCATGCTTTGCAGAGTAACAAAAATTATGAAAAATTTAAACACAGTGAACTGTTAGGAGGAACATTTCAAAGTGCTGGCTTCATAACTGTGGGCAAATTTTGAACACTGGCTGATATTTTAAACATTTAGTCTCAGGCATCCCAGTTCTTTTCCTAAGCCATTTTGAAGTCCAAGGTGTTCAAACGTTTTTTTTATTTGCACACATGCTTCTACTTACTGAGAAATAAAATGCCTCTTCGTATTCACTCCCAGAAACATAACTAGAGGTTTTGGGTTGACACTGACCATTACCTTTGACTATAAACAACCATATTTTTTAAGTTCTAAATTCGATTTGAACAAAAGTAACCACCGAGAACAATGCCTCCACCACCACGCTTCACTCTGGGTGAGGTGTTTGTTGGGTAATGCATTATTTGCCAGAGATTTAGATTTTAGAAACATGGCTCCAGTTTTATTAGACCATTAGACATTTCACATGAGATTCTGGGAGATTTTTAGTGGAGACTTCCTTTGGTAACTCCTCAGGTCAGACATATTGAGAAAAGCCTTTTCTCTGAATTTTGCTTTTGGTGGTTTTTCTTTCAATCTGTTTTAAAAAAACTTCAAGATTTTGTTATTTTTGTCACACATTTCTTCTAACTTTTGATTACTTAATAGTATCATCCATCTTATCTCATTCTCCTGAACGATACATTGATAATGATAATTATAATAATTGATAATTTTGATCCTTTGTAACATCTCTACAAATAATGGCTTTACCTAAGGAAACCAAATTATCAAATTAAAAAAGAATTTTATATAACAAAAAGCAGCCGTAGTCCATTTATGCAACCAGGTTATTGCAGCTTTGTTTTTTCCTGTATATGAAGCGATTGATCAAAAATCTAAATTATTTCACATCCAAAAACCTGCCTAAATTCAGCAAAGTAATGATCATTTATTAGATTTGGAATTTCTCTTTTTGCAGTAGTTTTTAATTTTACTGTACCAAAACATAATTATGTCTTTCTGCCTAACTAATCATGGTGTTAATCATGGTGTCAACAACCACAGCCATGTACTGCTTCAACATTGCATGTTGTCAAACCCTTAAAAAATGAACTTTCCTTTGTTCTTTCATCTTCAACATTTTTGCACACAGTTGTTTGTGTAATAATCTATCAATGGTTGACATTTTACCCGGACAAGCAGCGGGTTTTATCTCTCGGGCTGGACATCAGTGGGTCTGCTGGCAAATACTGGACGGTGCCCCTGTAGCTTCTGTTACTCAGAAACACCACTGCACCTAAACAAAACAGATCACATGAATTGGATAGAAATGTTCAGCAGAAGAAAGCATGACACACAGAGAGTACATAGGGGTTCTGTTGCATATAATCTGACATAAGGGAAGTTGTGGTCAGATTGCAGCAATCAGCTTAATTAAGAGTATAAAATATATACGGTATATATATATATATATATATATATATATTCTTTTTTTTCTGGCACGCAATTGTTTTACATTGGATCTGTGTCAGACCTGAGTAGTCATATCTGAAGGGTCCCATCCAGCGGTGTTTTTCGCTCTCAGCTAGGACATCACCATAGAAGCCATAGCCCACCAGAGATACAGAGTATTTCACCTGACCAGGGCCATAATGGACCGAACACACGTCCAAAGGCTGAGAGTCTCCTGCAGGTTTGCAGAAGGATATACACTGAGTTTAAATTGAAAGAACAAAGATTTGTTTTACGGAAACTTTTTCTCACCAATGACGATGTGTAAAGCTGAGGTAACAGGGTCGATCACTCCCACTGTGGCGTAGCAAACACAGTCTGTGGAGCCTATATTAAAAGACAATGAATGAAAATGTAGTTTTCACACTCCAATGTATGGATGAACACTTTCTAACAATTACCTGCCGGGATGATGCCAATGTGGAGAGGACATTGCTGCAGAGTGACCGCAGGATCGTTCTCACAAAGGCCTGCCTCCTGCTGTGTTCTTCCAATGACTCCATGGAGCAATTCACTGAACATGCCGTCGCCGCCCACACACACCACACTGTCAAAAGCAAACACAATCCTTTCTGTATTGTGAGGGAACCAGACTGCAGCCTTTTCAGCACTATCTTACCACAGCATTTACCTCACAATGCTGACAGCACTCACCCATCAAAGCCTGTCAGGTCTTTCTTCAGCAGGTGGTCTCTGGCCTGGTTGGCCCGTTCAGTCACTACAAGTGAAGGAAAAAAACAACAACATGCAAGTTAAAAGCTAAGTGGGTCAAACAGAGGCTACATGTCAGATCAGAATGATTAAAAAACAATACAGTTTTTTGTTAAATTAAAAGGCCAAATGTATAGATATTTCTTTTGGAGTTTATGTATTAGGCCGCCACAAAGTTATGCAAAATTATACAGTAAAAAACAAACTAATATTAAAATCAGTTCAATAATAAATTATGTGGCTCTTCTGCTCAAAGCACTTTTGTAGTAAATCTCACAAAACCACACATTGCTGGCGAATAAGCTGGAATTGAACATCCATCTGGGGCACAGGCACCAATATGTGAACCAATGTTTTCTTCCAAAATTAACCTGGAATGATCCCAATTTAATATTTCTCCATATCCCATCTCCACAGCATATTTTCTCCACCAGTCTGTGTCGATATAGGGGATGGGTTCTTAGGAGTGACAGAGAAGTTAAATTTTCATCTCTTCCTCCATGGGTTACCAGAGTATCCTTCATGATTTATGACAAAACCAATAGCAATGGGACATTTTCTTGCTTTATTTTAATAATCTGAGCATATTCTCTGATTAATTACATAAAAGACAATGCCTAAGCTGTTCTGCCTGGCTCTTTTCATTTCTTAATGATGGACTTAACAACGTTTTGTAACATTTCTGAAGTTCTCAGATCTTTTGCAGCATTTTACAGATTTTATTTTGGGATAGGGAGATCTTGCCATGTTTTCTTCACACACCTTATAGGCTGATCTTCTTTCTTGGACATTGTTCGACAACCATTATTTACAAATGCTGAAAAGGGAGTGACCTATTAGGATTTCCCAACAGTTCTGCACCTGAGTTGTTGTGAAGTTTGAAATGTCTTAGCCAGAAGGAACTCTGTTCCTGTTCTTGCAACATTAGAGGTGCACCGCTGACTTTGTGACCTAAAGAGTTGACGCATACAAGTTATTTTAAAAGATTCCTCAGGCCAATATATAGTGCTTGTCACTATCGATGCTACTAGCGGGGCTCCCCTTTTGAAACTCCGCCTAAATAAGTTGGGAGAAGACGCACGGTTGTTGGGCAGGTCATGTGACGTGGAAGAATGTATCGCTTTACGGCCACAGGCTCCTATATCCTGATGAAGCTAAAGCTTTTGCTCCACTATTTTTCCCCCTGCTAGACTACTGGTCATGGCTGAGGCAAGGAAAAAATTTAAACCTTCTGAGGAGGCTAAAAAGAGATAAAGTGGGGGGGATTGTGTGCAAGGAAAAAAGGGAGTTGGAAAGGAGTTTTTAGTGGCCGCAGACTGAAAGAAGAAGCCGGATGTAAAACCGATTTTCTTCTCTCAACTTTATTATTAGACTCGTATATCTTGTTATTACTTTCTATGTTTAGTAGAAGTAAAATATGGGCAGTTACAGGTATAGTGCCTCTAGTGGCTAAAAATTACGCAGTTTGCCTTTAAGTAAAACAAAAAAATGTATCTGATATTGTGGAATATGTACAATGTGTATTGTACAATAAAACTGAACTTTGTGGCTTAAGTATAAAAATGTTGAAAGATATGAATACTTTATAACAGTTCAGAGCTTACCTATTACATGTGAGCTGATGCCAGCCAGCTCAAACAGTGGGGCAACCTGTGAGTGGTAGATCTGTCTTCCTTTTTTCTTTCCTCCAAAGGGGTTGATAAACACCATCAGCCTGTGTGGACGCAGGGGACCTGAAACATGCATTCACAATATTACTAGTGGCTGCAAAGCTGAGATTAAACAAAAACCAAAGAAAGTTATAAAAAGATCTCTTCTTACTATGAGTTTTGAGGGCTGTCCGAATGTGTCTTGTCCACTGATCTCTGAGGACCCGACTGGGACACGTAAACTGAGTCCGGCCCAATCTCCACAGCAGCCCAGAAGAACTCCTACTGCTGCTGCGCTTCACATAGAAAACTGCAAACAGAAAGATTAGTAAATAGATGTTTTACCACCACATCCTCAGCTACTCTAACTGGCCACTGTTGCAGCAGGCAGTGATAATAGATTTGGTAATAAAGCTGCATGTTGGTGTTAAACTGGTTGTGCAATGATTATTTTACCAAAGCAAACATACCTGTGAAGTCTCTGTCTGTATCTTCCACAGACTTGTGAGGCAGGATCTCCACCCGGCCCTCCTCCACTCCCACCACCTCGGCCACAGGAACTGAAACTTTAACACGGGTGCAATCAAAAATCTAAACCTTTATCAAAACTAACGGAGTCATTTTTTTGCTTTTTAAAAGTTAAAGCACAGGTAAAATGTACAGTGTAAAACATTGAAATCTAAATAAGTATTTTTTTCTTAAAATAAGTGCATTTTTTCTTGAATTTAGAAGGTTAGTGAGACACTTTGCCGATGGAACAAGACTAGATTTAAAATAAGAAAAAACAACTGCATTGTTTTATTTTAAGTGCATATTATCTAATGATCATATTTTAAGAGTAAAACAACTAATTCCATTGGCAAATAATCTTATTTGCTTGCTCAAATTAAGGCTAAATACACTTAATCTAAAAACGTTTTACTTATTTCTGGATTGTTTTTGCAGTGTAGAGCAACATGTATGTTTTCCATTTAATTATATAATCCCATGGCAATGACATTTACCTGATTTGACTATATTGTTACAAACAAAACAAAAACAAAACACAGTGTGATTGAAATGAAAGCCGATTCTGTTGAGCCACCTCATTTTCATAGAACTTCTACTGGCCTTGCTGGCTTCCTGGTTTATGCTAGATAAACATGATTAGAATTGAGCCTTTGTTTGTTTAAAAGGCCTGCAGTGTGTGTCATCAGACCAATACACCTACAAAAATAAATAAATAAAACAGGTGATGTCAGTGTAATTCAATCTAGCTGTTAATGATAAATCAACAGGCCATTGATTTTGACACATGAAATATACTACTGCTTGTTGAGGTGACATTTTATTTTGATAATTTATCCTTCTTTTACCTCAGAAGCCACTTCTACTGGAAACATTTGCATCCTTGTTTAAATCACTTTAAATGATTCTGACAGTCTGTCATCTCAATAATTGTAAAATCATACATAAACTGAGATTATGATAAAAGAAATATGTTTTCCAAATATTATCTAATCTATCAAAAGGATAAAATAATTACCCCTAAACTTAACGACAGCTATTTAAAATCGTTGGGCAAACTTTTAAAGAGGTCCCTACATGCTCTGAAGGGATTTTGTCAGAATCTTCTTTATGGAGTTGCTGTAATTCAGCCAAATGGGAAGGATTTTGACCACAAAAGCGTTGAAGATCAAGCCACAGCGTCTCAAGCACAAGTAAGAGGCAAAGTATCTGCAAACCATCATATTACCCATCTTATAGGACTGCAGGAATGATGTTCTGCTTTTGAAATGTGTTTGATTTTAAAGTGGATGTAGCAGGACACTGACCTCTTTGGTCTAAAGAAGAGTCTCCTGACATTTGAGAATTTTCAAGATCATAAAACAGGTTTTGCGACAGATCTTGGCTTAAATGCAAAAAGCATATCTCTTTCATGGAAATGATTTTTGCCCATTCTCTCTCCTTTTGATAAAATATAAAAACTGACCTTAGCTGAAGCCCTGGGGTCTGCAGTTCTATAGAAGTTCCAATGCTGTTGTTGTTTTCCCATTAATTAGAACAAATGGAAAAAAATGTTATGATTATCTGAAGTCCTAAAGCTTCAAAAGTATTTTTGTAAATCCCTTTCCATTTTGATAGATCTAAACTGTGATATCACTTTTTCCTGAACATCCTTGGGGTAGGAAGCTGTTTTGCTGTTTTAGATCTTCATGTTCTTAAACAGTTTTTTTTTAAGTGATTTTTATCATACAGGCCAAGCAATATGATTTTAAAACATGTGCCACATCTTCACCAAATGTGGAAAACTGTTCTCCAACTTTTTGACCTACTGTGGAAGCTTTTAAAAAATGGCTTTGTACACGTTTGCTGTATGATGGTGTCAGTGATCTTTTCAGATGGGGGCATGATGTGTTGATGTGCATTTGATTTTTTGCTATCTCTGATATTGTCATGCAGGTTCTGTTTCAGCAGATTATAGAGTCTGCAGGTCACTGAGATCAGTCCCTCAATAAACAAGAGAAATTTGAAACCAAAAATAGGTTCATCCTATTTATTCCATGATTTAAACAGAAAACCTTTCCTACTCATTTGGCCAGGTTGGTTTAAGTTTACTTTTAGTAACTAAAATCACTATTTCACAAATAACTATTGAAATGCATACTCTGATTACTTTTAGAAGCACTGTATGTTCATTAGTGGGTTCAAAATCTGCTACTAATGAGGGATAGATATAATGAGAAGCAATAAAGCCTGTATTAAGCTGAGGTAATGTGTCAGGAGGTGTGTGTGTGTTTTTCCAGCCTGTTTGCAGTAAACTTGTTTGATAACATGTTGGTGCTGTTTAACTAGTTCTTCTTCTGTTCTGCAAGACTTAATTAAAGCACTCCCTGTCTGCACGCTTAAAACTGCTTTTGTTATTCATTCCGTCATGAAACCTTAAGTAGTTTTGCACGACTAGTGATTAAGTATAATTTTTAATAAATTGTTCCTTTAAAATGTCACATATAGTCCTGTTATTCTATTTCTAACTGTGGCTGTAGAGTGTAGGTTAGTGTGGCCTGGAGAGGAGCTGCAGGATCCCTCACCTGCTTTCTTATCGCGGTTCTTCTTGTCAGCCTCGGTCCATTTGAGATGCCAGCCTGTCAGGACAGCCAGGTATCTCTTATTCCCAACCCATAAACTTGACTCCAGCCTCAGGTCGTTCTCCATCTGCGCTCTCATTCACCCGAAATGGATCCAAATAACACTTTGACCGCAGTTTACCTCCATAACTTTCACATCGCTTGGAAACAACAGAAAACAAACAATAATCTGGATTCAGTCAGTCAGGAATCCAGCCGATGGTTTTCCTCTCTCTGGTGTTACAGATCTGGGCTGGAATAATTATCATTTTCCTCTGGATTACACGTTAAGCGTGTAACATTTTAGTCGCTGCCGCTCCAGCGTTAAAGATGTGTTAAGTAGACCTTATCTCTAGTCCCTCCCCTTGTGGCACCTGTAGCTGCAATTTGCATAAAGCAGCTGATTGGATGATAGTTTACCTGAGGGACTGTGTCTCTTTATATGGACAGGGGCGGAGCTAGATGGGGGACCAGGGACCTACCATTAGCCACCCTTGCCATTTTTTCCCTCTAAAGGGCTGGTTATACTCCTGCAGCAGTGTGTCGCAGTGAGCTTGACGCAGAAATTTTTTATTTATGCCCAGTATTGAAGAGTGGTCTTAGATACAGCCGAGGCGGTGAGGAAGTGGGGGTCGAGTTTGTCCAACAACGGAGGGACATGACGGTGAAAAATAGAGGGGATCAAAGTGGAAAAAGGGTACCAGCTTTCTAGCCCATTTCGCTCTTCTAGCTGGTCCAGCCTCACGAGTTGTTTTCTGCAATTCGGTCATAGAAACAAAAACAACCGTGCCTCCTGTCTGCGGTAGTGTCTGCGGTCACCTACAATTTGAGAGAGGTGCAGCAGTGTCAGAGTGTTTTTTTGCTGTCGGAGCCGCTCAGACCCCCACATACCGAAGATGTGCTGTCAGTAGGATTCCCCATCCCAACAGCTGCCACTGACCCGGCTGCCTTTTTGTGGTTTGGTAGGTGTTTTTCATGTATGTAATCCAAACTGCAGGCACCAGGATAATAAAAGTGAACATGTTTTGCCAGCAGATTTCGGCATTTTAAGTTAATTTAGGCGTTAATAAACTGTTTCAGAGTGGGCTGCTCAGTGGTGCAGTGGATAGCACTGCTGCCTTGCAGCAAGAAGGTTCAGACTTATATGCTGCTTTTTTAAGTCCACTATTTAGACTTATTTCCATAGTAGATTGGCTAATTTTCAAATACTTTGAAACTAATAAGCTGCAACAGTCTTCTTTCCAGGGCTCTGTAACAGCATCTCCACCTGATATGATGCATCTAATCGTAAAGGGGTAGCTTCTGTTAAATATAATACAATATGTTTAAGAACATTTTCTTTTTTAAGCTATTAAGGATGTATTACTTGCATTTTGTAACTACTTTAATGAAATTTAATGTAAATAAGGTTATGAACAATCTAAATAGGTTACAGAAAGTAAGCTGACTTTGTCTCATTCTTTTTTATTTTGAGAGGCATACGATAAAATGTTTTGAGGCAACTAAAATGACCCATCTCAATGAGAATACTATATTTATTGAATAATTTAATTTTAAAGCGAGCTAAGGTCTGTCATAAGCTATCTCCTGTTTCCAATACTTGAACTGTTTAAGTATCTTGGTTTGAGAAAAGGGTAAGGAAAGTCCAGACTGATTGCACTACTTAAAAAAGGACTAATGACCAATATAAAATTGCCTTCCACAGTCCTACAATTAATTGTCTTGACAAATAATGAGGAAATCAAAAGTTATTCCCCATTTTTATATTAAAGGACTTGTCCCTAGCATATTTCAGTTGCTTTTTTGCTAAATTAAAAATAGTTATGGAAACACTGCTGATTGGTGTGCGTTAAAAACAACAACTAGAGGAAGTTATGAGTTTGCGTGTATTTAAAGAGAAGTGTAAAAAAAAAAAAAGCTAAATTTCTCAGAATTTGACATGTCAAACTCTAAACAACACAGAGCAAGGGAAAATCTAACAGATTTATTGTTGTAGGTATCTCCATCCCTTTTACATTTTTTTGTTCATTGTTATTGCGGCTGTGTCTGTTTTAATAAAATCTAACAATTGGGATGAAAAAAACACAAAAAACAAAATTTTAAAAAGATAATGCTCTATTGTTTTAAAATATGCAATCATGTAAATGGTAAATAGTAAATGGCATGTACTTATATGGCGCCCTTATTCAAGTCAGGAGACTTGACCAAAGCGATGTACTCTAGGCTACTTTTAAACGTGTGGAGATTTTTTTCTTTGTTTGCAGTTCTGTATGTAAGGACATTGTTTTAATGGCTTCACTATTATTTTTTTTTTCTTTCTTGCCTTTGCTTTTTGAATAAAGGAGCGAATTAATCACTGAAATCGATACAATAACACCATCATACATACGTCCAAATCTGCATGCTTTTATTGTGAAGTGTTGGAACTTCTTTACCGGAAGTATTTCCCACCAGACATTTCCTCCTTCCTTCCATGCTAGCTGATTCAGGCAGTTAGCAAGCGGAGTAGAACCTTTAAATTTTGTTGTGCGGTTAATAATAACAAGCTTGTTTGAATTATTGTAAACCGAAAACTTGTTTCCGAAGCTTTTAAAAACACAAATAACAAAATGAATATACGAAACGCCAGGGTAAGCACATTGGAATCATATGACAACCACGCTGTTTAACCATCAGCTAATGCTAAGCTAATCTTAACTCCTGCTGCAAATTGCAGACGTTAACCGATTTTCCTCTGTATAACGTGCCTTTGCGGTTAACCTGTTCTATCTGTTCCAGCCGGAGGACCTAATGAACATGCAGCACTGCAACCTGCTGTGTCTCCCCGAAAACTACCAAATGAAATATTACTTCTATCATGGATTGTCGTGGCCTCAGGTGCTGCTTTTCTCTCTTTTCGCCCTCTATGTCGACAGAGTTTACATGTTTCACACTCTGTGTCTTTCCGTTTTTTATTCAGCTTTCATACATCGCAGAGGATGAAAATGGCAAAATAGTTGGATATGTATTAGCAAAGATGTGAGTATCCTACCACAATCTTGGGCACATCTCAATAAGTTACCAAAATGTACATTTCTGTAAATCATAAAAAAATAAGACCTACTGATTAATTACACTCAGGTCAATATACAGTAAGGAAAATAAGTATTTGAAAACACTGCTATTTAGCAGGTTTCTTCCACTTAGAAATCAAGGAGGGGTCTGAAATTGTATAACTATTTAATATAATATTCAGTAATACTTGGTATAGTATACTTGGTAAGCCTTTATATGCAATTATCCATCCATTTTCTGTCATGGTTCATCCCTTCTGGAGTCTATTTATGGGCGAGAGGGGGAGTACACCCTGGACAGGTCACCAGTCCATCGGAGGGCAACACAGAGACAAACAACCATTCACACACACATTCACACCTACGGAGAATTTAGAGAAGCCAATTAACCTAACAGTCATGTTTTTGGACTGTGGGAGGAAGCCGGAGAGAAACCACACATGCTCATGGAGAACATGGAAACTCCATGCAGAAAAACCCCGCGCTGGGAATCAAACCTGGAACCTTCTTGCTGCAAGGCAGCAGTGCTATACCCACTGAGCTACAGATGTCAAACTTTTCCTGTTGTTTCTCACCAGGTTTGCTGACACTGCAGGAGGGATTTTGTTCCACTCCTCCGCACAGATCTCTAGATCAGTCAGGTTTCTTAGCTGTTGCTGAGAAACACAGAGTTTGAGCTCCCTTCAAAGATTCTCAATTGGGTTTAGGTCTGGAGACTGGCTAGGCCACACCAGCACCCTGATATGCTTCTTATAGAGCCACTCCTTGGTTATCCTGGCTGCATGCTTTGGGTCATTGTCATATTGGAAGACCCAGCCTCCACCCATCTTCAATACTCTAACTGTGGAAAGGAAGTTGTTCCACAATATCTGGCAACACATGGCCACGGTCATCCTCTCCTTAATACAGTGCAGTCGCACTGTCCCATGTGCAGAAAAGGCCCCAAAGCATGATGCTACCACCCCCATGCTTCACAGAAGGGATGGTGTTCTTGGGCGGGTACTCATCATTCTTCTTCTTCTTCCAAATATGGTTAGTGGAATTGTGACCAAAAAGTTCTATTTTGGTCTCTGACGACATTACTTTTCCCCATGGCTCCTCTGGATCATCCAGATATTAATTGGCAAACTTAAGATTTAAGGGTTTAAGGGAACCTTCCACGCCATACAGGACTTCAAACCATGATGTCTTAGGTCATTTCTCACTATGTGTTCTTGTGCGTTCTCATGTACTCGTGTAGTTGTGAAACGTCATCAGACTCAGTCCTAGTACTGTTCCAATTTACAAATACAGATTACAGCTGTCCCAGCATGCACTGCGGCGGCAGCAGCTTTTAGTTTAGCGTTCACAGAGCTCAGAGTATAACTGTTTTCTTTTCTGTTGCCATTGTTTAATAACAGTGCGTTTTAAGATTAATAGAATAGAATAGAATAGATAGAATAGATTTACTTTATTTATCCCAAGCTGGGAAATTGTAGTGTAGCAGCAGCTTTACACATAGTGACAGTCGCAACACGTGTAAAGCTGCTGCTACACTACAATTTCCCAGCTTGGGATAAATAAAGTAAATCTATTCTAATTGAGCAGAGAATAATATACTTTTAAGCGTCACTATATGGCCCATTTGCCGATTTAATGCATCATTTAAAAAAGAATTTCTGGATTTGAGAGAACCACGTCAACCAGCGGACCTCCAAGGGTATTGGCAGCTAGGTCTAATCCCAGGTGGTCTGCAGCAGCCCTCTCTCCGCATAGCTGCTTGTGAAGGACCGCTGGCTCTGAGGGCGAGTTTTTTGTTTTATTTGGCAAAACATTCATTTGATATGTGTTTATCTGACTGTGTTAATTGTTATTCCCCCACTAAATGAAAAAAAGTAAGAATTTATTATTATCTACAGACTATTAATAGCACGAGGTGAAATGCAGCTACAGGGAGCTGAGCGTGTGGCAATATCACGAGTATGCTTCTGTTCCAATTGATCCATATTTATGCAGCGTGCTTCCGTTTTCCTCAAGTCCATTCATTCCTGTGTTCGTCTCAAGAACAAACTTGGCGAGAACACGAGTCCCTCTAATTTAGAATAATAAATGGAGTGGAGGTGGATGTTTTTAAGGCAGACTAACAGGTTTATGAGGGTCAGATTTCAAGCTGATAGACAGGTGTTCGAATACTTATTTGCAGCTGTATCACTCAAATCATGAGTTAAAAAAAAAAAAATCATAAAATGTGATTTCTGGATTTTTATTTTTATTTTTTAGGTTATGTCTCTTAAAGTG